AAGGATGAAGGGCGACTGATTGATTGCAATAGTTTTTTTTTTCTCCCCCCGCCTTGGACTTGATCAGACTAGAGTTTGGTGAAACCCTAAGCCCGTGATCAGCCGTCCATGACGGGGATGGAAACAGGAGCGGCTGTCGCGGWTGGTGATGCTGGAAACTACGGAGCACCACGGGACGTCCCGCCGCCACAACACTAACCTGTTCTCATGAGGAAGTGCAAAAGTATTAAAGAGGGTGGAAAAGAAAAAAATAAATACAGGTTTGGTTACAATGAGCGCTGCCAGATCCAGGGTAACTCATCGCATCTGCCAGACACAGACGGGTTTGCTTGTGTGAAGCTCCTGCAGAAGAACATGATAAATGGTGAGTGCGTCTTTACGCATCGGCTACAGACAAACACAGCTTATAGTGAAGATTGTGTATTTTACTGTATTTATTAGGCTATGTCCAAATATTAAACTACTTTACCCTTCATGTTCTGTGAGTTTAAAGCAGTGCGCGTTGCATTTCCCTCAACCTAAAAATGCTTTATTTTCCCTCTACGCAGTGTCTGACAGGAACTCTGCTCCGAAGTTTCCTAGTGGTTCTCCTGTCGGCCAGCTGCTGTGGTAAACCTAAGTGTAACTACAGAGAAATCCTGGGCTCCTACAGAGAGATCATCTTCTTTGAGCTGCAGAATCTGGTGTGACAAGACGCACACATCACTAAAGTGTTTTTTTTTTTTTAAATCTTCTGATAGATAGTTCCTGTCAGGTAAAGCTTAAAGGGGCTCCTCAGACCTAACTGACCCACTGTGTTAGGCTGCCCTCCAGTGTTTGTGCTGCAAGAGTTCTTTTTCTCACATATATTTTTAAACCCCTATATTTGATTGAATTTTTTAATTTTTTTATTGTTTTATTTATTTTTATTCATTTATTTTTCCCCAGAATTTGAATGCATCTTTTAATGAATCCAAAAAGAGAGACCCTTGTCCCTCAGGAAAGGTAAGTGGACTCACATTTGATACATTTTACAAAAGGTGGTTGCAACAAGCTAAAATAAATAAACAAATAGCATTTTTTCTGCAAAAGTCACAAGACAAAATACATTTTAGAAGCTACAAGCAAGAAAACTAAAGTGAAAAAAAAACATGCATTTCTAAAATAAGCAAAGTGTAAATGTCCCAAATAGACATTATTTAAGAAAACAATAAACATAAAACAAACAACTTGTCACTGATATTTTTTATGTCTCATTAGATAAAAAATGAAGATGACCAAGGTACTTTAGTTAACAAAAAGTAAGCAAAGAGCACAAAAAAGTTTGAATATGAAAAACAACCAAACAGAACAAATCAAAGTTAAACACAACATAAACACGTTGTGTTGTAGTGTCCTAAGAGTGGGGGTTTGCCTCAGGAATGCAAACATGTTTGGTCCATCAGCCATCCAGCTTCAGAGTTCCACACACATCACCATATTAGGACACAAGAACGCTTGAGGTATACCGTGACAAGATTTATGTACATCTGTCGAGAATGTATATGGAGCCCTGTACACCCCCGCTCTTGGCCTTCTTTCTCCAKCTTTCTTACTTGGCGAAATCATTTGGATGGAGGCCACGATTTGGTTTTAGGCTGTATCTCCTTGAACTGCTAAAATAAAGGTGCTTGCTGTTCAAACCAGCCTGTTTCCAGAGTCATCTTTATCCGGGCAAACAGCAGTTCCACTTCAACAAGAAGACGTGGTTTTTTTCTACACCTCAGTGTACTCTTGAACAACAAACACCATTATCAGATACCCTTTTTTATTTTGTAAATTTATTTATCGTATTTAGTTGGTTATTTTTAATACCTTGTTCATGGACCTTTTTTTGTTTGTTCTTTAGGTTTTTGTGTGATGCTGAAATCCTGTAATTTTTTTGTGTTTGGTTTAGTGTTGTTTTGTTACTCGAGTGCTTTCAGCACCATGAACAGGGTAACTAATGGGTCCCATTATGTTACTTGATCTAATGAAAGGTSTGACAAAGTAATTGTTTTCCTCAGTTTTGGTTATTTTGTGTCCGTTCAGGCACATCGCATCCTGGCGTCCATCTACGGTTTGTCACAGCAGATACGGTGTCAGAGGAGTGGCAAACAGCTGTCTGACCTGCAGRGGCCAGTGGAGAACATGGAGCAGCTTATCATTCAAAACTGCAGTCCCAACTATATGGTAACATAATAATGAGAAAAAAAATCACATGCTTTTTAAGCGTTCACGATCACACATTACAAAATGATGAAAGTAAATAATGAAATTATGGGTTTTTTTTTTAGACAAATGGAGGCTCTTGTTCAGCGGTTCGACAAATACGAGGAAAAAAAAGGAAGAGGCTGAGGATCATTGAAGTTATTAAAATGCTGATCACTTGTTGGGCAAAACTTCAGAGTGTCTACGCTAGTGTTGTAAAGACCGCCTAACCCAAGACCACAGTGTCTCGAGACCAAGACAAGACCAAGGCTTTTAGGGCCTGGACCAAGTCAAGACCAAGACCAAAGGAGGGCGAGACCAAGACAAGACCAAGACCAGAAAAAAAAAAAAAACTAGTGTTGAAAGATGGAGTATTCTGTAAACATGTAGCTAACTTAACATATAGAGCTAAWATTGACAAAATCTTTGTGTAGGGCCACACAGCCAGTAACAAAAATACATAAATGGCAATTAATCAGGTTTGGATTTGAATCAGTAGTTACATTTTAAATTCAATGAAAGCAAGATTGTTAACAAAAAATTGGACAATAATCTGGCTATTTAGTGATATTTCCACAGTTGTGGTCTTGACTGGTCTTGAAATAAAATTCCGAGTCATCAATATCCGAGACAAGACCAAGACCATCAAAAACTGGTCTTSAGACCAATCTTAAGACCAAGACCGATCTGAAGTACTACAACACCAGTGTCTACATAAGGGTGTAACTTTAGGTCTAAGTGGGTGGGGGGGGGTTATGCTCTAAAATCTTGCATGTCATTTTCAGCAGTTATGCTTAAACATACATGTATGACTTCATACATTTTTAAATCAGGCCAAAGTTACCTAAAAACAACAAGAGGGTTGCATCTGTGTATTTAGCCAGTTGATCTCTATTGTGTTTGAGCAAATGATGTCATTTTATTGGGGGGTTATATTCACTGGATCAAATTATTGTGGGGGTCATAACCCCCCTTAACTCCCCAGCAATTTACGCCTCATGTCTCTACGTGCCTTCTAAGTAGGAAACGCTTTGTTGCTGTGGTTCCTAAAACCTGTGCTACGCCCTCATGAAGACTGTACTCTGCAACATACCATGACTAATGACCCATTTTTCTATAGACAGTAAACATGAATGTCAAGTTCTCAGTATTTTGTATTTTATATTTGCTTGTATCTTATGATGTTCTAGTTTCATTGTAACCACAGATAAGCTAAAATGTACCCACAATATTTTAAYAATATGCACATTTCAAAGTCTCTCTAGTTGTAATAACCTTTATGTTTCACATTTTTGAGCCATATATTATCATAACCCAAAAGTGTCCCYCTGTATGTTATCTTGTGAAGTTTATGGCACTTAATAAAATGTACATTTCATTATTACTCCTAATATTATTATAAATAATCTTGCTTGATGCACAGTGTTCTGTTTGTTTAAAAGGGTATACAATGTGTGTTGCTTTTGGGTTTAGATTTCAAAATTTAAACTGCATTTCATATTTCATAGCTATTTTGCTAATTAACAGTATTTAGACAATGGTCATGGTCCCGCACATGCACATTTACAGCCATTTATACATAAAACTGGATTTGACATCGGCTCTATTGTTTGTCCATGTAAAGAGCGCTGCCATTATTGTGTTGGATGTAAGAATAGTGTTTTTACTGTAWATTACAGCTTTGCTCCATCATTTAGTGACATCAGAACAACTTTTTCAATATCACGGGCAATGTTCAGCTACACATAATATTGATATTTATCTATGAAGTTTTTACTGGTAAACACTAAAAACTATACCTTTTTTAAGTAGTGAGGTCTAGTTTATATATTTTGCACTTTTTTGTGACACACTTGCTTTCAGTTAGTCTGGCACATTGTCAACCAGTAATTTATCAGGTATAATTTTGCATATAGGCAGTGTTAGGCAGCACTAGTCTAAAAATTAGTTCCACTAGCCCTAAAACACTAACTCAAATATTTAGGTTCCCTAATTCTAAAGCACTAAAACACTGAAAAATTTAGCAAACGCTAATTTTAAAGCACTAAAATAACCCAGTCAACCCATAAACATTCTTCAACGGACAACATGAGTCACATATTGTCATGTTGCTCTCCTAAGACTTATCATTGATATTCCACAGCTGTATTTGGGTTCATATATTGTCACCTAGTGGATAAGTGACACACATACAAAGTGACCGCTTTCACCCTCAGCTGTTAATATTAACATTGATCAATAACATTTATAGACCTCAGTTWGTGCTTCTAAATTTAGCCTATAAATTTAGCAAGTGCTAATAAATTTTAAAATTAGCAAGAGCCCTAAAGCACTAATCAGGAAATTAGTCCCCCTATTAGTGCTTTAGGGCTTTAGGGGAACTGTGCCCACCACTGCATATAGGCCTACTGTATAAACCTTTTGGTGGGGTACTCTGGTATAAGTAATTTTAAATGTGACTTTTGGGATGTTTCTGGTAAAAATGTAATAAATAGTAAACACTACTGAATGTGGAGCATGATTTACATTATCTGCCTGCAGCTAACACCAGAATGACTCTGTACACTGCAGCAAATACAGAAGACACTTGAGCTTTTGTCTATGAATTTTGACATGTGCCACAGTTTACAGAAAAAAAAATTCAGTTCCCAACGTATTAATTTAATATTAATTCTCTTGGGCTCTGCATCCATACAAATTGTTCATGCTGATCCTCAATCAACACATAGCAATGGCGGCGCCACTGCGCGTCACAAGCGGTAGGAACCTTTCTCATACAGCGGAGTTTCCGTGCGGAGCTTAAATTATGTCACACGGTGTTCGTCAGCGAAGCGTTTGCTAATCCAAACACTGGTACTGTTGTTAGTTTAACAATGTGTGTTTAAACGCTAGTGTTAGGTTATTTACACTTTTTGTTGACAGTAATGTTATGTCTTCACCAACGAAAACTGCATTATTTTTAGAGCAGTAGCGTAAAAGCAGCGTCAGAGAGTCTGTCGTCATTTTTTATTTTGTTTTGTAAGGAAATGCTTTCTGAATGATCACCTCACTGAACAGGTGAGAGAAGAGTTTATTTCCGGTGTTCCTCGGGTAGAAAGTAGCAGCGTTAGAGAAGAAGGCATGGCCAGCGGCAGCAGCAACAGTGTCAACATGGACCCAGATGTGGCTCGCAGGTTGTTTGAGGAGGGCGCCACCCTGGTGCTGCTGGGTGTTCCTCAGGGTACGGAGCTTGGAATTGACTGCAAGAGTTGGCAGGTTGGTCCTCGCTTTCGTGGTATTAAGATGATCCCCCCAGGCCTGCACTTCCTCCACTACTGCTCTGTGAATTCGCCAAGCTGCGGGGGAGAAATCGGCCCCAAAACGGGCCTCTTCCTCACTCTCAAACCCAGAGAGATCCTGCTGGCCAACTGGGATCGCAGAGAAGAAGATCTGGATTTCTCAGCCTCTGAGAATGAGGAGGAGGTGAATCGCATCCAGGGGACTTTGCAAGAGCTGGATCCCTTCCTGGGCCCTTATCCGTACGAGGTGATGAGGAAGTGGGTGTCTCTCACCGATCACATCAGCGAGGAGCTGGCCACCGACCTGCAGCCTCTCACGGGGCGAGTCTGCGCCTTCAGCGACGTCATCCCCGAGCTTCAGTTCAGACACACCAAAGACCGGGCCGAGCAGCCGAGGAACGACACGACCTGTCAGAGCATGAGAGAAGGACTGGACAGGCTCCCTAAGATGAAGCAGAGGGAAGGAACGGAGCTGCGCTTCTCAGTGATCCCCAAGAAGACCTACCCTCCCGGAGCCACCCCGGCTGAGATCACTAAGTGCAGCATGGACTTGAGTTATTCCCTGGAGACGGTGCTGGAGAAAAAGTACAAGAACCAACCTCTCAACCTGCTTGGTATGCGTTATTCACACCAACGCATAGTCAAAAAAAAGTTCTTTATTAAAAATGAAAACTCACAAATGTTTAATGTTTTTCAGGTGAGCTGCAGTTTGCGTTTGTGTGTTTCTTGGTTGGAAACGTGTACGAGGGCTTCGAGCACTGGAAGAGCCTCCTGGCTCTGTTGTGCCGCTCGGAGGAGGCCATGAGGAAACRGAAAGATCTCTTTCTGGGGCTCATCACTGTCCTCTACCACCAGCTTGGAGAGGTCCCCCCTGACTTTTTTGTTGACATTGTGTCGCAGAACAACTTCCTCACCAGCACCCTGCAGGTATAAGCATCTGACATCTGGGAAATATTCAAAAAGGAGTCAAGTGAAGAAAGCGAGCTAATGCTTCGCACCAGTGCAGGGATGCTGAATAAGTTTCATGTAGAAGATAAAGTGCAGTGGTAATCAAAATATATTGTATCTGGAATTAAAGTACAGGGATAGTCTCTTCTTTAGTTAGTAAATTATTTAAATGTGCAGTACAATTTTGTCCCAATCATCTTTAAAACAAAGCTAGATTTAATATGTCAAGAACAGCACAAAAATTTATTTCTTTGTTGTCACAGTGCTTCTTGGCAATAACTCTTATATCAGGCACCTGACTGGCAGCACCTGGAGGTACCAGAAGCTCAAAACAAGTGTCAGTAACTTCAAAATAAGCTGTTTGGCAGAGATGATTTTGCTCACCTCACAAATGCATGTTCCTTACAAATGTGGCAACATTTAAAGTGAAAACAGGCTTTCCAATGGTATAAGATTTATTGCCAAAAACCATTGTTACAACAAAGTAATAATTAGGCCTGTCGCGATAGTCAATTAATCTATTAATCGCACGATAACTTTTTTTGAGGTCGGT